AAGATCCCACATTGACCAACGGAGAGGAGGTTGATGTGCCTTATATGTACATGCCCGCATCCATCTAGCATGAGGCCTTTTGGGAGCTTACTGGCTTCGGAGTCTTAGGAACTCCGAAGTTAAGCGAGTTGGGGCCCAGAGCAATCACAAGATGGGTGACCCACTGGGAAGTTGGTCGTGAGCTCCCAGAAACAAAACCGTGAGGGCCAGAGATGGGGGGCAAAGCGGACAATATCGTGCTACGGCGGATCGTCCGGGATGTGACATATAAGGGTTCTCTTTATAAGTGTTCTCTTTTGTTAATTGAATCTTAAAAATGTAAAAGTGTGTAATATTATGGTAGTTGGACCTTGAACAAGTAAAATTATTCACTATTTTTGTAAAAACAAGGATTTACAAGATTAAGGACAGAGGGTACCATAACGTTGTAAAGAAAATCACCAAACTCGTAACTTACAAGTTTTGGCTAGCAGTTCACAAGGTTTTGCACTTGGATTGCAACGTTAGGGTTCACCCAATCCATAATGTTGTAAATCATATGTTTACAAGGATATGGATCCATATTATAAGGAATTGGTAATGGTGGACCTTAGGGATGTAAATTGGGTCTTTATTCTAGTATACAATTGTTTACAAGATTAAAGATCAGGGGTAACATAACGTCGTAAAGAGAATCCCTAAACTCGTAACTTACAAATTTTTGATAACAATTACAGGGTTTTGCACCTCGATTACAACATTAGGATTCACCTAATTCATAATGTTGTAAATTAGTCTTTTACAAGGATATGGATTCACATTACAAGGAATTGGTAATGGTGGACCTTTGGGATGTAAAATGGGTCTTTATTTTAGTAAACAATGGTTTACAAGATTACGGACTGAGGGTACTTTAACGTTGTAAAGCGAATCACTATACTTGTAACTTACAAGTTTGGGGTAGCAATTTAGAAGGTTTTACACCTGGATTATAACATTAGGGTTCACCTAATCCATAATGTTGTAAATCACCATTTTACAAAGATATGAATCCACATTACAAGGAATTGGTAATGGTGGACCTTAGCGATGTAAAATGGGTCATTCTTCTAGTAAACAATTTTGTTAAAAGTTTAAGGACCGAGGGTACCACAACGTCGTAAAGAGAATCCTTAAACTCATAACTTACAAGTTTTTTTTATAACAATTTACAAGGTTTTGCACCTCAATTACAACATTAGGGTTCACCCAATTCATAATGTTGTAAATCAGCCTTACAAGGATATGGATCCACATTACAAGGAATTGGTATGGTGGACCTTAAGGATGTAAATTGGGTCCTTATTCTATTAAACAATGGTTTATAAGATTAAGGACCGAGGGTACCACAACGTCATAAAGAGAATCCCTAAACTCGTAACTTACAAGTTTTTGGTAACAATTTACAGGGTTTTGCACCTCGATTTCAATATTAGGGTTCACTCAATTCATAATGTTGTAAATAAGCCTTTTACAAGGATATGGATCCACATTACAAGGAATTGGTAATGGTGGACCTTAAGGATGTAAATTGGGTCCTTATTATAGTAAACAATGGTTTACAAGATTAAGGACTGAGGGTACTATAACATCGTAAAAAGAATTCCTAAACTCGTAACTTACAAGTTTTTGGTAACAATTTACAAGATTTTGCTCATGGATTACAACGTTTGGGTTCACACAATCCATAATGTTGTAAATCATATGTTTACAAGGATATGGATCCATATTACAAGGAATTGGTAATGGTGGACCTTAGCGATGTAAAATGGGTCATTATTCTAGTAAACAATTTTGTTAAAATTTTAAGGACTGAGGGTACCACAACATCATAAAGAGAATCCCTAAACTCGTAACTTAAAAGTTTTTGGTAACAATTTACAAGGTTTTGCACCTCGATTACAACATTACGGTTCACCCAATTCATAATGTTGTAAATAAGCCTTTTACAAAGGTGCGGATCCACATTACAAGGAATTAACAATGGTTTACAAGATTAAGGACCGAGGGTACCACAACGTCATAAAGAGAATCCCTAAACTCGTAACTTACAAGTTTTTGGTAACAATTTACAAGGTTTTGCACCTCGAATACAATATTAGGGTTCACCCAATTCATAATGTTGTAAATTTGCCTTTTACAAGTATATGGATCCACATTACAAGGAATTGGTAATGGTGGACCTTAAGGATGTAAATTAGGTCATTATTCTAGTAAACAATGGTTTACAAGATTAAGGACCGAAGATACCATAACATCATAAAGCGAATCCCTAAACTCGTAACTTACAAGTTTTTGGTAACAATTTACAAGGTTTTTCTCCTGGATTACAATATTAGGGTTCACCCAATCCATAATATTGTAAATTATATGTTTACAAGGATATGGATCCACATTACAAGGAATTGGTAATGGTGGATCTTAGCGATATAAAATGGAGTCCTTATTCTAGTAAACAAGAGGATTTACAAGATTAAGGACCGGTATTACAATAGTTTGGATATGATGGTACCATAACATTGTAAGAGGATCCCAAAACTTATAAGTTACAAGATTTGGATAATGATTTACAAGTTTTTGAACCAGGATTACATCATTAGGGTTCACATAATCCATAATGTTGTAAATCCTCATTTTACAAGGATTTGGATTCACATTACAATAAATTGGTAAGTGCGGACCTTGAAGATGTAAATTAGGTCCTTATTTAGTAAAGATGAAGGTTTACAAGATTAAGGGTCAATTTTACAAGTTTTCGATACGATGGTACCATAATGTTGGAAGGAGGATCCATAAACATGCACATTACAAGAATTGGGTCTTGATTTACAAATTTATGAACCGGGATTACAAATTTAGGGTTTAGCCAATCCATAATGTTGTAAATTCTCATTTTATAAGGATATGGATCCACATTACAAGGAATTAGTAAGTCCGGACCATGAGGATGTAAATTGGGATCCTTATTAAGGGTTTACAAGATTAAGGGTCGATTTTACAATTTTGGGATATGAGGGTATCATAACGTTGTAAAGAGGATCTATAAACATGTACATTACAAGATTTGGGTCGCGAGTTACACTTTATGGACCGGGATTACAAATTTAGGGTTTAGCCAATCCATAATGTTGTAAATTCTCATTTTATAAGGATATGGATCCACATTACAAGGAATTAGTAAGGCCGGACCATGAGGATGTAAATTGGGATCCTTATTAAGGGTTTACAAGATTAAGGGTCGATTTTACAATTTTGGGATATGAGGGTATCATAACGTTGTAAGAGGATCTATAAACATGTACATTACAAGATTTGGGTCGCGAGTTACACTTTATGGACCGGGATTACAAATTTAGGGTTTAGCCAATCCATAATGTTGTAAATTCTCATTTTATAAGGATATGGATCCACATTACAAGGAATTAGTAAGGCCGGACCATGAGGATGTAAATTGGGATCCTTATTAAGGGTTTACAAGATTAAGGGTCGATTTTACAATTTTGGGATATGAGGGTATCATAACGTTGTAAAGAGGATCTATAAACATGTACATTACAAGATTTGGGTCGCGAGTTACACTTTATGGACCGGGATTACAAAGTTAGGGTTCATCCAATCCATAATGTTATAAATCCTCATTTTACAAGGATATAGATCCATATTATAATGAATTAGTAAGTGTTGAGCATGAAAATGTAAATTGGGGTTCTTATTCTAGTAAAATAAAGGTTTAAAAGATTAAGGGCCGATTTTACAGTTTTTTGGATACGAAGGTACAATAGCATTACAAATAAGATCCATAAACATGTACATTACAAGATTTGGGTCACGAGTTACACTTTATGGACCATGATTACAAAGTTAAGGTTCATCCAATCCATAATATTATAACTCTTCATTTTATAAGGATATGTATCCACATTATAATGAATTAGTAAATGTTGACCATGAATATGTAAATCAAGGTTCTTATTCTAGTAAAATGAGGGTTTATTAGATTAAGGGACGATTTTACAATGTTTTGGATATGAAGGTACCATAAAGTTGTAAAAAGGATCCTTAACAATGTAAGTTACACGATTTGGGTAATGACTTATAGGTTTTTGCACCAAGGTTACCACATTAGGGTTCACATAATCTATAATGTTGTAAATTCTTATTTTACAAGTATATGGATCCACATTACAAGAATTGATAAGTGTGAACCTTGTAGATGTAAAATGGGGTCATTATTCTAGTAAACACGAGGGTTTACAAGATTAAGGACTAGTATTATAATATTTTGTATATGAGGGTACCATAACATTGTAAGATGATCCCAAAACTCATAAGTTACAAGATTTGGATAGTGATTTATAAGTTTTTGCATCAAGATTACAATAGTAGGGTTCACCAAATCCATAAAGTTGTAAATCCTTATTTTACAAGGATATGGATCCACATTACAAAGAATTAATAAGGTCGGACATTTGTAATGTAAAAAGTGCTCTTATTATAGTAAACACAAAAGTTTACAAGAGTCAGGACCGATGTTACAATGTTTTGGATATAATAAGTTATAAGATTGTACTTAAAATGCAATTGCATATTGGTATGCAATTGGATGCTCCCTGGTTGTCAATTACATGCTCCCTGTTTGTCAATTACTCAAATCACCTTGAATATTAGTAATACTCTAGAAGTAGTTACTTAAAATGCGAAAAGTTGCCAATAACATGACAATTTCCAAACATAATTCAAAAGCCGCCTAAGAAGTTGGTAATTGGATTCAAAAATCAAATGTTATAGTACCAATAGGATGACAATTTCTATATACAAATTACAAAAACCGCCTAATGAGTTGGTAATTGCATTCCAAAATCACATATCACCATCTTTGCATTTCATCGCATCTCTAAATATTCCATTTGTTGTAAAATGAACGGGATATGCTAGAATATTGAGCTGCGCGTAAAGTAAATGAAACACAATATTTAACGAGGTTCGGCCATGCCTATGTCCTCAGAGAGCAGCAACAACAACTTTTCCACTTTGTGAAGTAATAGGGCTATAACTATAGTGTTTACAATATATGTGGCTCATTGATTTTTCTCTCTTGGAGAATTTCTCTTTGCTCTTTTTTTCTCTCCTCTCACTTCTTTCTTCCTTCTCTTCTTTCTTTCCTCTCTGTCTGGGCCCTCATTTCTTCTCAGATGGTCTATGCAGCAAAGGAAGGGGGAAGCCTTATTTGTAGGCAGAATTATGTGGCTGCTTACTCATATTCCTTTGGCTTCACTTGGGTGTTGGCAGACAAACTTCACCATTATTCTCTTCTTTTCTTTATGTGGGCTCTAACACATTCTTTACAACACCCTTTTATTTTTGGTTGAAATCAAGAAAGCCTAAAAACTGCGGTGAGAGAAAAACAACCAACAAGTGTAGAAGGAAAAGAAAAAATAGAAAGAAAAAAAAAACACCAGGAAGGAATCAAGCTAAAGCCGAAAACTCAAGCCCAGCAACATGTTCGCCAGCCCAGATCAGCTTTTGCAGCTCCACCGTCCTCAAATCAATCCCTGCCACTACATGAGCACCGTGATTCAGATGTCTGGGAATCCAAAGCCAATCAACTTCATCGAACCCAGCTTCTAATTTCATGATTTCATTTATTAGAGGGAGCAAGGTCCAATCCATGTTTTACACACAACAATCCATAACAGCACATAACTCATTAATTTCTCAAATCTCATTTTCAATTCCAAGATGTAATTTGCTAATAAATTTAGAAAATTGATGATAAAAATTACCAATAGAAGATTGAGCGCTGGTATTGATTTCATGGAATGTACCCATATTTGATTCTAACTCTAACTGTCGGTGGGAAAGCCATGTTTGAACCAAGAAACTCAACATGAAAGAGAGAGAAGAGCAGCAGCTGAACTAGAGAGAGAAGCTTCACGTTTCAATTTTATTTGTTTTTTAATATTTAACCTACAACAACCAGTTAAACAAGTCACCAACAACCAAAGGTGTGGATTAACCCACATCCACTAGCTGCTTATCCAATGGTGAATATTATTTGTGCATCCATGCACCCGGCGCATGGTAGAATTTTCGTACTGGCAGTGTATACTTTTCAAGTTACCTCCCGACTACAGTTGGTAAATCACATTGAGGTCTTAGGAAATAAATAAATTTCTGTTCTCATTCATTAGTATCCAATCAGCCTCAAAATTGTTCATACATTTAAGGCTTCGATGATGTAGAAAACCAGTCTCTGGTTTTCCACCGAATTTTACAGCATTCTCCTCCGACGAGATTACAAAATCAGAGGGGTTGATCCACCTCATTCAAGTGTCAATACACTACAACAACAGCTAACTTGACATATTAACAACAGAAAAACGATATTCCAACAACACTTTTAAGGAAAGAATCCTGACACCTATAACTAACTACTACTCCTCCAAACCAAGTCCACCAATCCGCTGCCGCCTCCTGTCAAAAACAGCTTTGAAGGATTCACGTTCTGCTCGAAGTTGGTCTTCGAATACGTTCTGCCTCTTTGATTCACCACTGCTATGGGTTACCGGGTTCTCTTCTTCGGGTAATGGATTGGACTTCTGCAGGTGTTGGAAGTAAAACACAATGAGATCATTTTGCTGGCCCTAAAAAGGAACAGATGTAACACACGGATAGTGCGTACACATATGCTACAAGAACCATACTCTAAAAGAAGGGGGAACCTTGTATTTCATCAATTAGCCAGGAAGAAAAGAAAGTACTTTAACAAAGATGAAACTACATCTAACTAGTATGCGACTCTTGAACCCACATGGCATACATTAGTAGTTTTATGATAATCTAAGTAGTCTCTACTGATAGCACAACAATGATAGTGAGGTAACAAACCAAGTTGTATCCAGAACCCGGTCCAATCACCAAAGACAAGACATTCGCCTTCTTTGCTGCTGCTATCGAAAACCCCGTATTGCCAACCTGGAGGAAGGAAGACCAAGGTTGCAACAACTAAGAAATAAAAGTACAAAACAGAGTTTAAAGAAAAAGGCATTTAAGTTGTAACAAAACCAAAATCCAAAAGTAATCATTCATGAGAGCTGGTTGCACATTTTAAGAAAAAAGCCTACCAAATCAAAGGCCAGCCACCACCCATGCATAAAAAGCAAACTGAAAACCTTAGTTCTTTGGTCATTGAAGTGAAAAACCTTGCGCAAAAACACCACTATAACCGAGATATCTTTCTTCTAAAGGATAGCCTAAAAGCCAATTCTATCACAGAAAGTAACTATACAAGCGACAAGTGGCAGCCTATAGTTTCAAATTCACCATTACTATTCCATGCCATCAACAGAATAAGAGACAACTTATTTCAACTAAGCATTTACATCACCAAATGATTGGGTGAGATAACACATACCTGGTCACTCCAGCATACAGATTTTCCTCCCTTGCGATAAGCTTGAATAAGTCCAGAAAGAGCATTAAATTTACCCTTCACACCTTCAGTTTTTTCGGTATCATCTTCATCTAATATTTCTGACCATTTACTCCTGCCTAGTTCTTTCACTTCCACAGTTGGATGGTCTTCTTCAGCATCCAAGCTCTTTGCACCCTTGGAAGAGCCTAAAGCTTAAGATTTATAAAACGTTATCAACTCAGGTCGCCTCAGACATAATTACTAAAATTAAAAAAAATTAAAAGCCAAAATTACCATTATGAGCATCATCTTCAGCAGGAGGTGCTATGATCTTCTCAGGCTTTCTTTCTTGCAATCCCAATAGACTATCATTATCTGCGTCTTCAGTATCCATGTCCACCTGATAGATGTCATATGAAATATGGATTGATACCTAACACCACATTACACTTCTTGTTCGAAATAAAAGAAAAGAGAGTCAGATGTGATTCAACTTGCCTCTTGAATGTCATTTCCCTTCAGGTCATCTCCATGGAATAATGACTGTCAAACCAGCAATACACAGCGTCAAAACAAATCCTAGAAGCAAATGCAAGTGAAGATAAAATACTAGGTTCTGTAGAGAAGTGGTACCCCCTGTCCCACTCCCCCCAGCTTTGAATCCTTATGGAGTAGTATTTGGACCCCAAAAAGGCAAGGAGGGGTGTAGCAGAACAAGAGGGTCATCTGCTATTGTGTAGCCTGCTAATGGACCCAAAAGAAAATAGTTTACTTTACATTCACAACTTAATGGCCATCCTAACTTTCTGGCCCAAAAAATTTATGGGCAATCTCTTGAAAGCATAATTTTTATTTTTTTCTTTCCTCCACTCCCTAAATGATCAAGGTAAGAGCACTAACTGGACTCCACAGTCAACTGCTTATACCTACAATTGATGTTTGCTTTGAGCTCCTCCATCCTAACCCAAAGCAAAAACTAAAGTTAAATGACAACAAACCTTGGCATCCAATTGCAAGTATATGGATGGAGCTTCCTCCCATTGTCTGGCCATCTTCTGTATGTCATCTTGGGTAAAGCCGTGCACATTCCTAGCTGCGCAGCCCTGACATGCCAAGAAATTTCAAACAAAAACTTCAAAAAGAGAAGAAAAAAACCCTTTCCCACTTAATGTCTAATGTAGGCTTCCTTCCAAGAAAGAGAATTATCAAATTACAGTTATAACAACACACATAGATAATACTCACCGCAGGATCCTTATATGATGCTTCTAGTATATAAACTTCATATCCTGAACTCTGTGAAGAAAACAAGGAACAATTAGTGAAGTGAACAAATAGACGATGAATCCACAAGTCTATTATATGATCATCAACCACCAATTTTTTTCTCCTTTTGACCATAAGTCAATCACATTGGATATTGAAAACCTAACCATCATACATTTCCATAAAAACATCAGAGTAATATTGCAATACTAGTAGTAAAGAGAGGAAAACTGATTCCAGATGGAGAAATTAAATGAAATTTCGTGCATGGTGCCTGCATTGATCAGCTTCCTTATGTAGGCAGAAAACTCACACAAAAGCACCACAAAATTTGATAATTTGGACCAATAAATGAAAATGGAACTGCCTAAACTTAAACCCCACCTTGTAACCTAGGAAGTGGGTAAGTTACATAGAAAAACCCAACTCTGGAAATCCAAGCTACACCCATATGTAGTTAGCTTCAAGACTGAAAAATGTCCCTCTTGCAATGTCTTATCTTAAGACCACAAGAACTATAATTTCATTGATCATAGTCAATTAGATTATAGAGACCAGAACACGATAGGTTCCAGAACTGGTGCTTGTTAGACAGACCATCAAATTACCACGTCCACCTACTAAAATTTTGTTTAAACTAATAAACAAAATAAAAATTAACAACATACAATATATGCAGGAAGATCAATGATAGAAAACTACATTCAAATTTAATATAACTTTTTCTTTGATATGATCCAGCCTATAAGTCCTGATAAAATTTAACCCACATTTTGGAATAATGAACCTTGCATAATACGCATAATATTACAGCCAGTGCGTATTTTCAACTACATTACGGCATTGCTAATCTAGGATAGTGACACATTAGCAAATTTTTCACTAGCCCTTTAGATAAAGTGCCTGAGGTACAATGGATCGGGTCTACGAAACATGATGCCAACCCCCCAGTTTCTCATGAAAATGGTGAGTGCATTTCAAAAATAGAGTCGACACTTCAGAACACATGGCAGAGGTTGTGAGAAAGAGAGAAATGAGGATATACCTTTGCAATTGCCCAAAACTGAGCAAAATCAGCTACCCGCAGATTGCGGTCATCCACTAAGACGAAGCACACATACCACCGACAAAAGGGTCAATTTCCGAACAAAACTGCATCTGTAGTTAGTGAAAATGAAGGCAGTGGATGGGCACTGCATCACCACTTAATCTATAATTAACTATATCATTTTTCTTACTAAATGTACTGGCAAGCCAGTATAGCTAGAATAACCTTTAATCAGTTTATCTTCTTAACGCCTCAGGAGTAGAAAATCTTTTAAAATAATTGAGGACACGTTTGGAATCCTATCTAAACGACAATACAGGCAGGTCATTTATGCACCCATGTTTAGAGGAGACATGAGTCTCAGAGCTGGTGCTTACCACCGGCTCAGAGTGCGCTACTTGAATCAAAGTACACACTGCCTAAACATCATCGAACCAAAAAAGCTGTCACCAAATTGTACACGAAATTTGCAAGTAATTCCATCCGGAAAATCTTTGAAATTCCCAAGCCATTATAAATGGCTAAAAAAAAGGGGAAAAAGTAGAGATATAAAGTTCACTGTTTTCAGTCATTTGTGAATATCAAAATTGGAAGTCATACCAATTATGAAGGTGAAAACACCCTCCTCAAGGGTCTTCTTAAATGCCTTCAGCATACTCAACCGATAAGCCTGCGGGGAAGACATGATAGTGTCACAGTTCGATATGAAACTTATATGAATTAAAAAAAATATATCATAAATCATAACAGGCTTAGAAAAAAACTAGAGGAAAATAATACACACGGTAATTTAGAGCCTATATATAAACCACAACCCAACCCCACCCCTCAACCAAAAGAAGTTCCACCAAGATTTCAGAAAACTAATATTAAACTTTTACTGGATTAATAAATGAAAGTGCAAATATTTCCCTTTTCACTTTCATAAATTGAAAAGTAGTGCCTAAAATTACCAAAGCCAACCAACAAATTTTATTCTGGAACTCAAGCAGGAAAGGCTGATGAAATCAAACTCTACACAAATGCAGCCTATTTATTCAACAGTGCCAAATACAAAGTCCCACGGCTAATATTGCCTGATGTGACAGAATCAACATAAACCTCCCCCCAAAGCTAACATAATCATAGAACAAAAAATTCCAAGAAAATAAAACATGAAAGACATATCAAACCAAATTTCTAAAAAGTTTCAGATATTTTGAATTGCATTACCTCCTCCATTTCAGGTTCATAACAATACTCCATCACCTTCTTCAATACTCGCTTCTTGCCTCTGGCTGAACTTGAAGATTTTGAAACATCACTTTCCTCAACCTTTAGGACAAAAGACAACACTTAGTTAAAATTCTCTCAAGTACTCAAAGAACACTAATGACGGCCCCAAGAGAGAGTAAGAGGAGGCAGAGAAAAAGAGGCATGAAAAGATTCTACATAAATTAATCAGGACATTTTTGTAAATGAAGGGGAAAAAAAAAAGAAGAAACAACAAACCTTTTCTACTTCTGTCATAAAATAATCATCCATGGAATGAATTCGTGGAGCATCACCACCATTTTCAACCTCTAGGTCGCGCAACATCTTTGCTAAGTAGCTCTTTCCACTACCTGATAGTAAATGCATCAGATGATTTCGAGAATATGGCCAAAGGTCAAAAACACAGAAAGCAAGTGAGATGGCAAGGGAGCTTCTATAGTTTTCGGCGGTCACGTCATCATGCTTACAAAACATATTATACATACAAACTTTGGTACCTGGAAGCCCTCGTAGGATTATCACAAAATGATCAGGACGAGTGAGTCTATGTTGCTGCTTAAATAAGTGGGAAGCATCAATTACTTTTGGCTTATCCAAAGATGACTGCTTCCGTGGAAATGGATGTCCCTCTCCATACTGCTTTGATGATATTTGATGGGAAACATGAGATTCCTTGGGAATTACGTAAGACAAAAAGGTTTTCATCAGAAGGCTAGAAGCCCAAAAGAAAAACGCAACCCAAACAACAGTTCAAGATAAAAGCACAAAAAGCATGAGGAACCAACTATACCTCCATAGCAAAACCAGTAGAAGCATGTGAAAATGGCTTATTATGGAAATAAGGCTGCGCCAGGGAACGGGCTTCATGAATTGGTGGATAGGCTGAAGGCATCATTGATGAGGAACTAAATGAAACAGGAAACAATGAAGAAGACGATTTTGATGGCGGGTCCATTGGTAGAGGAGGAGGTGGAGAAGTGGGAAGAGGAGGCTGCCCACTGAATGGCCGAGCAGCTGGCATATGACCTGCATTGTTAGAAACCAAGCCAGGGGAAGGAAAGTAGCCTCCGTGTTCGTTCGTATTTGGAGTGCCATGTTGATGCCTCACAGAATGCCTCTGCATTCCATAGGGTTGTGGTAGCTGATTGTTATGGTCATAGTATGGTGCACTCGTCCCAGTATGTGCTTGCCAACCATTCACATGGGAATGTTGTGCTTCATTCACAGGCCTAGAATCTTTACTTTGAAACTGTCGAGGATTGTGGCTATGGTAATTTTCATTACCAACTTCAGAATGATTAAACTCTTCAGTTTGAGAATGGGGGAAATTCCTATTAACACCAGGTTTACTATAATCCCCTTCAAAAACTTTACTTTCTTCAGCATACTTATTCGTATCACCATTCGGAACGGTACTACTACCGGAAACTGAATTCACCCCACCGTGATCACGAATTAGCTTCAATCTTCTCTCATCCTCCGGTGTAAGACTCGCATTTTTGGGGTTAAACTCGCTCTTTAAACCCAAACCATCGACTCTCGGCCTCTTAAAGTTCCTATCACCATCACCAACGTACGCATTGCCGCCATATTCATATGGTGGCGGTGGCGGTGGAGCCAAGCCATCTCTATACGGAAATTTGCCATAGGTGTCTGCTTCAAAATTAGGGTTTCTCTGCCACGGCCTCGGATTTTCAAACCCATTAGTGGGGTTACCCATGAATGGGCTCTGAGTACCCACGGGTCCTATATACGGGTCAAAACCGGGTCTTTGGAAAGAGTGACCTGAATCGAAAGGGAAGATAGGGTTTTGATTGAAGGGTGGATGTGGAGGGCAAAAGGGGAAGTGAGAAATAGAGCAAACAGGGCAGAGGGAATCTGGGATTGGCGGTCTAGGACGCCATTGTTGGTGTTGAGGGTCCATGAGCTCCGATTTGAGGTCAGAAACTCTAGCTCAGCTGAAAAAAAAATTAAAAATTGAGATTTAGAATCTATAGAATTTAGGGCTGTTAGGATTTCGAACCACTCAATTAAGAAGAGAAGAGGAAGATGAGTCTGCCGCAGAAAGCATGGTCCTTTAATGAATATTCAAGAAAAAAAATAAGCTGAAATTGTTTCGGACTTGCATTTGGAGTGTTGGAACTTGGAGGGGAGAAAGGTAAAGCGGTAAAATATTTCGGTGCACGTGCGAAGATGTGGCATTTTGTCATGAACCGCCATCCACGTGGCAGTGTATTAATGGACCAATGGAAAAGTATTTGCATCAACCAAAAAAACAAAATATATACAAAATATGCTTTAACAAAATTCATCAATGGTTTATCGAATATATAGATCATCATGTGTGTTCAATTCTATCTATTCAGTTGACCAAAAATAAAAAATAGAAATCTATCTATTCAGATTTCAAAGAATGATGCTGATATACATATGTTAAAGTGTCAACTTTTGTAAAGCAATAATTTTTGTAAGAACATATATAGTAAAGGTTTGAATAGAAAGAAGATGAGAAAATGGAGTAAAATTCAGAGTGTGTTGCTTCCATGATTTTAATACTTGATATTTCATTTAGTCCACATCTCCCATATGTTGACTAGGTAAGCAAGGGATTTGATTAGTCAAATAGTCATGGAAGTAAGACAGTTCAACACTGTTAAGACTCGTGTTGTTGGTTGGATAAAGGACCTCCTTGGCTTCTTGATGGCTTAGGGAGGATTGGCTTCAAGTTGTTTGATTTGTTTGATTCTTCTGTTTAGTAAATAGCATGCGGTGTTTTTTATTTCTTTTTTTCTTTGTTATTTCGAAATGATATACAATCAAGGCAAGCGAATAACTTCATGGTCATCAAAGCCCTCCTTGCAAATAACACACGACTTACCTCTTATCTTTAGGTGCATAAATTAATTGTTTTGGGGGGCCGGGGGGAGGGGGAGGAGGACATTATATTATACTACAAAAAGCTACACAACAATCAAATTATTAAACAAACATAAAAGATGGATATATAGTAGTATATGAGTGAATTGCAGCGAAGAATAAAACGCGCGCGCGCAGTTGGATTGGATTGTCCTTGTTCTTTTCGTTCCACCAACTGATAGAACAGGTTAGCTCCACTTTGTTCTATCAGTCGACCACAGTGAGAGTTTGATACTCTTTGTCACTGACGACTGCTTCCATGAGATGGTGCAGGTCCAATTCTCCACCATTGTCCATGAAGGACTTGTACAAATGAGTGGAGAAGCCACTCAACAGCGTGAAACCTGGATGTCGTCTACAAATCCAGGTAGGCTCCCCACAGTGCAAGAGATTCCAAAACAGAATGTGTGGCACCGCATCATCCCCGTACCCTTTGTCCTCATACTTGCTTTGTATTGCCTCAAACAAGCTCCGTAGTAACTCATACTCATACTCAAAGGAGCGGCTAAATAGTGGTGGTAGGTCAGCGAACACAATCACCTTCTTGATCATCTGCTCTGCCTTCAAATTCTCATCCACACCTATTTCCACAATCAAATCAAACAACTTCTCCAGCTGCCTGGTGTTGGAGGCCACGTTTAATGTATGCCTATAACATCCTTCATCGGACTCCAAGTATCTGAACGTGAATTTGAACTTGGACTTAAGATCATGTCCTTGTATCAAGTCTAGCTGACATTTTCCATCACTAGTGTATTTTATCATCTTTCCTTTCCATGGCTCTTCACTCACTTCAGACACCAGAATTTCCAACCCCATCGCAAAACGCTCGGGTAATTGGCCCACCACCAACCAATTTTTGAATTTGCCCAAACCGTCCCCCTCCTGGATTTGCTGTTGCTTTATGTCCTCCACCATTGCCTTCCAATGAAGCTCCGCCACTTCCCCGACATCCTTATCTTGTACATATCTTATGATCTCATTCGGAAGCAAAGCATTCGGCTTTATTGTGCCAATGCCGCCTCCTGCTGCTACTTTCACCTCCTCCAAATACTTCTTAACCAGGCTTGGGCCTTCCACACCAGGGAGATCGCGACGGATACAGCGACGGTGGGCTCTTCGAAAGTAGTAATTGGTCAAGGGCACCAAAAACTGCTTCTTTAGCCTTTCCCACTCTTCTGATTGATCTGATTCTGGCGGGCAAAGCCTCCTCGCAATGCTTTCACGCAGAAAAATGACTTCGGTGAGGTCATCATAGTTCTCGTCGTTGTTAGTACAACACACTGCAGCAGATACAAAAAGATTAGGATAATAATCTTCCCCGTCATCGTCATCATCATAATAATCATCATCGTCGTCGTCGTCGTCTTCCTCTTCCTCCTCCTCTTCCCCTTCCTCTTCCTCACCATCAGTTAAGTAATCAGATGGCGTCAGTTTCAGCTTGTGCTCCTTCATTTTGTCCATCTCAGACTTCAAATGCTCCACGAAAATATCTACAACCCGGTCGTGTAACAATCTATAATCGGGGTCACGGTCATACCTCTCAGGATGAAGATGCAGACTCGCAGCAGAGTTGTCGTATAGGCCGCCGCCTCGATTCTCAACCACAATGACGTGCAGAATTTGGACAAGGATATCCAATCTGCGAACCTTGGGCAAGTTGGCAATAGAGTGGAGGTTTCTAAGCAGAGTTTTGGGGTGGTTCTGGTGGAGCCAATAGATGGCCGTGTCGAACTTTCTGTAAGAAAAATATTTATACTCGGAGCTGAAGATAAGCTTGAGGGTGGTAAGGGGGTTGTGGGACCAGGCCAAGGGAAGCACTTGCTCCAGATATTTAAGGCAGGGGTTAGTAACTGCGGTAAATGCTCTGAGGGAGTTGGAAAAGAGATCAAGGCAGGGGTCGCCGGAGGAGGAGGACGGGATTAAAGGGCAGATGTTTATTTTATGGTCAATTAAAGGGCAGCTCTTGTTAATGGCGATGATTTCAGCGTTGGGGTGGGAAGTAGCCATTAAAGGGCAACTTCTTCTTCTTGTTTGGATGCTTTGGATTGGGGTTGGGGTTGGTGTGAGTGCAGCTACTAGTAATTTGCCTTTGCCTTTGCCTTTGCCGGCGACATGGACAAGGTTTCGGAGGCATCGTCGTCCTGCTGTTTGGTTCGGATTTGGAACAATCCTCGCCCTTGTCAAACACACTTGCCCCGGAACCACTGCTTTATTCGTCTGAATCATCATCATCTCTCTCTCTCTCTCTGTGCTTGAGTCTCTGAAGTTGGTTTTTTCTTTTGCTGGAGGCGATGAGACTTTTTTTTTTAATTTGGTCCAAGAGGCGATGACTACTCTTAAGCAAGGGAAGTAGGGCGTCTTTATCTTCTTTATATATGTAAATATAGGAGAAAGAAACTAGGGTTCATATGGAGTCCACCCAATGTAATCAATACTAGATTGTGATGATGCAAGAAAAGTCCGAATTAGGATTTTTTTTTAAAAGTAGGTGGATTTGTCATAAAGGAAAGAGTGTGAATTTGTCAGAGATATACTAAAAGGTCTCTTGTCTACTCATGTCAGTCGGTGATGGATGCTCAACAATAGCCTTGTTTTTATATTAAACTTTATGGGTTATTTTATAAAATAAGGCTTATTGGACTTAGGCAAATTCACACTCTTTCGTTTATGACAAATCCACCTACTTTTTAAAGAAATTCCTAATTCGGACTTTTCTTGCATCATCACAATCTAGTATTGATTACATTGGGTGGACTCCATACGTATCATTACAATTTACATTTACTCCCCGCTACTACCTATCAACCTTCTTTGAATTATAAAATTAAAAACCCTAGTTTCTTTCTCCTATATTTAAATATTAAAAAAAAGAGAAAGACGCCCTACTTCCCTTGCTTAAGAGTAGTCATCGCCTCTTGGACCAAATTTAAAAAAAAAGTCTCATCGCCTCCAGCAAAAGAAAAAACCAACTTCAGAGACTCAAGCACAGAGAGAGAGAGAGAGAGATGATGATGATTCAGACGAATAAAGCAGTGGTTCCGGGGCAAGTGTGTTTGACAAGGGCGAGGATTGTTCCAAATCCGAACCAAACAGCAGGACGACGATGCCTCCGAAACCTTGTCCATGTCGCCGGCAAAGGCAAAGGCAAAGGCAAATTACTAGTAGCTGCACTCACACCAACCCCAACCCCAATCCAAAGCATCCAAACAAGAAGAAGAAGTTGCCCTTTAATGGCTACTTCCCACCCCAACGCTGAAATCATCGCTATTAACAATATTCCCCTCTCCACCTCCTCCTCCTCCTACGGTGACCCGTGCCTTGATCTCCTTTTCAACTCCCTCGTACTATACGAGAGAGATCCTAACCCCTGCCTCATATATCTGAAGCAATTGCTTCCCTTGGCTTGGTCCCAGAATCCCCTTACAACCCTCAAGCTCATCTTCAGCGTTGAATCCATCTGTTTTTCTTATCAAAAATTCGACACTGCCGTGCTTTGGCTCCTCCAGAACCACCCTAAGACTCTGTTACACAACCTCCACTCTATTGCCGACTTGCCTGACTGTGGGAGTTTGTACGCCCTTGTCCAAATTCTGTATGTCCTTCTAGTTCAAGACGACAAAGACGTCCATCTTCATCCTGAGAGGTACAACCGTGACCCGTATTATAAGTTGTTACACGACGGCGTTATAGATATTCTCGTGGAGCGGCTCAACTCTGATATTGACAAAATGAAGCAGCACAAGCTGGAACTGGAGCCATCTGATTATTCACCTTATTATCTTACGAGCCTAATAGATAAATACCACCGCCCCCGCAAAATCTCGGCTGCAGAGTGTTGCGTTTCCAAAACATCGTGGCATGACCACCGGGCCCGCACCATTTTCCTGCGTGAAAGCATTGCAGGGAGGCTTTTCCCGCCAGAATCAGATCAATTAGAAGAGTGGGAACGGCTAAGGAAGGATTTTTTGGTGCCCTTGACCAATTACTACGATCGTAAAGACAAAGTGCCCTATGAAAAGCGCTACCATCGTCAAGGCCGAGATCCCTGTGAGGTTAAGAAGTATTTAGAGGAGGTGAAAGCAGCCGCAGCAGCAGGAGGAGGCATTGGCATAATAAAGCCGGATGCTTTGCTTCCAAATGAGATCATAGACTTTGTATCTGATGAGGACGTCGGGGTAGGGGCTGAGCTTCAGTGGAAGGCAATGGTGGATATGTACCGAACACAGCAGCAGAAGCAGGGGGAGGGTTTTGGCAAATTCAAAAACTGGTTGGTGGTCGGTTCTATAAAGTTCGCTTTACCGGTGGGTCTCAAAATTCTGATGTCTGAACTGAGTGAAGAGCCATGGAAAGGAAAGCTCATTGGTGGAGAGGATGATCAGCCAGACTGGAGTGGAGAGGATGATCAGTCAGACTGGATACAAGGCCATCATGATCTTAAGTCCAAGTGCGAGTTGATGTGGAAATCCAAGTACTGTAGTGTTTTTCGGGCAATTGAATTGATTTTGGAGCTGGCTGTCAATGCGAATTTGAAAGCAGAACATATGATCAAGAAGGTGCTTGTGTTCAGTTGGGAAAACCCACAAGGTAGCCTACTATTTGAGTATGAATATGAGGCAAAACGGAGGCTGTTTGAGGAAATTCGGAACAAGTATAAGGAGAAAGGGTACGGGGATGAAGTGGTGCCACACATTCTGTTTTGGGATGTTTATGACTATCGTATCCCTGATTCCTGGATTTGTACACGACATCCAGGCTTCACAACGTTGAGTGGCTTTTCGGACAGTTTGGTCAAGTCCTTCTTGGACAACGGCGGGGAAATTGACCACCACCATGTCATGGAGGCAGTCATCGCTCACAAAGAGTATCAACCTCTCGTTGTAGTTGACTGACTGAAGCTCAACTTCAACTTCAACTGATGGCTCTTTGATCAAAATAAAAATCTGTCGGATTGGATCATTTTCATAATAATTTCCGGTTGTTTAGTAGAATAAAATCTTAATTTATTTGCGGCTTTCTATTGTCTTATTGTCTATCTGTCTGTCTTAGGTAGTTGATATTGTTTAGAGTTGGTAACTCAACGAGAATTAGCAAACATTACGTTTGGCATCATCTCTTTTAATCTAATTGTTCCCTAGCTAGGTAAGCAGCTAGCAATATTGTGTGTCTGCTCTGCTCTAAAAGTGACAGGAAACTATTAGCTCTAAACTCAAAAAAAGAATTTGAGTCCAAAACAAAAAACAACATGTTTGGTAGCTCTATTTTTAAAAACTCAAACTCAAGACCAACTAAAAAACACACAAATTATTAAAAACAAAAAATATCTGTTTTTTCAGTTTTTGTTTTTAACAACCCACAAGTTCTCGAATTTTTAAAATTTGAAAACAATTTTCAAGTTGCACACCAAACAAGTTTTTGAATCATAAAAATAGATTTAAGAACTCCTTGTTTTTAAGAAAAATTAAACTTTTTTAGTTTCCTATTTGAATAGTATATCAAACGCCCCTTAACTGCTGTTATGTATTATTAATTTTCTATTGGCGTGGTTTTGATCAAAAGTTTAGTATGGCAGTGTAAATTGATTTGTGTTATAAATGCATGGAATGTGTTAACGTCGTTTCTCACTATCTCAAGACTTTTGAAGGCAACTTTAGGGGTGGTTGTAATGCGGTTACAGCAACTTTTCAATCAAATTATGAACCGAACGACATATTGCTCATGTCTATATATTGTTGTCAGTAGAGATAACAACATAACATTACAGAACTTTCTATCAACAAAAAAAGAGTATAGAGAACAACATTACATTACAGAACTTTCATGCTTAAAAATAATGCTGAAATTAGCATAACTTTCTATCATTGGCAATGATTCTTTAACTCATATACGGAGATAATGAACTTTATTATTAAAAACCAATACAATCCACAATCCTACTAATGCACAATTAATCAACTAAATAGTTGATTGCAAGCTAGAGATTATCTCGGCTAACCCACTAATAACAAGCTAACAAAATTACCAACACAGCCGATGAGTTTGCAATACTAATTGAAACCCAGGTTCCTACTAAATAAAAATTTAATTATTTACTAATTAAGTTATATTAATTCATTAAATATTCAAATGATATTTATTCAAGGCTAAGATTTTATTTTATTTTTTATAATAAAATAATGCACTTTTAGCTCATTTTCATCCCAACCAAGGCAAAATCTAAGAAAACACAAAAAGGAAGTAAAAAGCTATAAAATGTCAAGAACTAACTCAAAATAGTGGGTGAATAACATGAAAAATCATGTGTAAAAATGAACCGAACATTTATACTTAAAATTTAAAATTTAATTTATTATTTAAACTTTGTAGGAAAAAAAATTACAATGTTTTGGTTTTGATTTCTATTTTTATTAAATTTTAATTACATAAAAAATGGCAGTCGTTGGATTGCAGTGAAAAATTTGATCGGACCCCCGAGGTGTTGTCACGTGTCTTGTAGCAATGGAAAACAAATTTGAAAAGTGCGCGTCAGCAAACCCAGCCAACAGCATGGGCTGGATCTGCCTTTGGACTTGCCTAGGTTGGCGGCCCCCACCTCTTGCTCGGGCTGCTTTGTGTGTGTTGGAGTCATCTCATGGGCCTAGGGCCAAGGGCGACCCTGAAGGTGTGCAAGTGGTGCCACCGCATAGAGCCTCCAATTTTTTTTAACGTATATATGATATATATTGATATGTTAAATATTGTATATATCAAACCCGAGTAGGGCATTTACACAACGACGGGTTTGACTGCCTTGTTCTGGTGCACTATAACTTCTACTTGTGGCACGGGTTCGAGGCCCATTTGTGTACATCAATGATTACAGTTTTACCTTGGTTTTGTTTTGTGTTTTTTTTTTTCTATTGCAACAGCAACAATAAAAGAAATAAAAATTCATGTCTTCTCCTTCTTAAACTCTTATTTTCTAAGTAATAATCATTACCAATCTATCACTTTGGCTCTTTTTTCGATATAAAAAAATCAAAAACACTAATTCCTAAATTCATAAAGGGCTAAGGGAAAAAAAAAATTCATAAAGGGCACTCAAAATCAAATAGTCAAATTGAAATCTCAATTTAAATTAAGGTATATATCTAAATTTCAATGTACATGACTTGTCTCATCATGCTGATTGTTTACAAGTATTTATATATCTAACTTATAATATATACAAGTCTTTACATAGTTAACGAGCACTGAAAGGAAAACTTAGTCTTTATACTAAACATACTGGTATTTAAGTTTCTCAAATTGAAATGTCAAAAAATTTATAAATTTGATTTGTGATTTGCATGCTAATTGAGGATGATTTTTTACTTAAAAAATAAAATTGTTGTATGCCACAATATAGGTTTGTGTTAGATTATCTAAGAGTCTCGGTTTAAGTTTCGCACAGGGCCCCGAAAATCTCAAGCCCGCCCCTGCCCAGGGCCCCCTAATACCTGGGCTAAACCCTTGCGGTGGAAGTGCGCTAAATGATGAAATCCTAGTCTCTGTTAGTTAATATAAAATAATTATAATTATTTATAAGTATTTATTTGAATAATTAAGTAAATTATATTGCAGTTTGCGGTATACCGCATTATTTAGATATGCGGAACCGCAACTGCAACCGCATCCACCTGTGCAACGTCAGCCTTCCTTAAAACATTTTGCACAAAACCAGTCATTGTACCTAAAGTTCACAATAGACATTAGATGGAAACTGAAGGATCGCTCTTCTATCACATCTAACTTTCAATCAATGAGTTAAATATGAGGCCTATATCAAAATTGTTTTTCCTTCGGCATTTCTTCAAGTGGAACATAAATTGATGTAGGTTATATGGAACATAAATTGTTCGAGCCGCAAGAACATCCTTTGGGCTGTATTTTTATTTTATTTTTCTTTATAAAAACATTTTAAAAAACCAGCATCCAGCAGTATATATACCCTCACGCTTTCTTCAACACCAAAAGGAAAAAAAATAGTTATTCATCATTATTCATCAATCTCTTAGAAAACTATGTAGTGCATAGTGAGTTTGAGTAATTTAAGGTGACTATGTTACGTTGACGAACACTATGACTTAGAAAATGTGTATTAATTAATAAAAAAATATTAAATACACCATAATATTTTATTTATAATGATTTAGTACAACATTTTACACTTTAAACATTGCTTGTTAAATTACATAAGTTAATTGAGTATTAAGTAATTAGTTCATAATAGTAAACACTTTGGACTTGCCCAGGTTGATGCTCAGAGACCATCTCAAAGGACAGATCAACGATAACCCGCAAGAAGTTGCAAGCATGTCCCTAGAGGCTAGCACGCACAAAGCAGCCCGAGCAAGAGGTGGGGGCCACCAACCTGGGCAAGTCCAAAGGCAAATCCAGCCAGTGTTGTTGGCTGGGTTTGCTGACGCGCACTTTTCAAATTTGTTTTCCATTGCTACAGGATACGTGACAACACCTGGGGGGTCCGATCAAATTTTTCACTGCAATCCAACGACTACTTTTTTTATGTAATTAAATTTTAATAAAAAATAGAAATCAAAACCAAAACATTCTGATTTTTTCCCTATAAAGTTTAAATAATAAATTAATTTTTAAAGTTTAAGTATAAACAATATAAAATAAATAAAAATGAATTGTAATTACCCTTGCCCGTGCCTTTGCCTTGCCCTTGCCCATAGGGATGTAAGTGCTCTTAGATGAATGAATCTCTCTCTCTCTCTCTCATTTGAATGTATTACTAATGAAGTGTATTCTCCGCCAATCTCTTGAAATTTCCTTTTTTTTTAAAAAAAAAAAAATCTCAGCCTTGAATAAATATCATTTGAATATTTAATGAATTAATATAACTTAATTAGTAAATAATTAAACTTTTATCTAGTAGGAACCTGGGTTTCAATTAGTATTGCAAACTCATCGGCTATGTTGGTAATTTTGTTAGGTTGTTATTAGTGGGTTAGCCCAGATAATCTCTAGCTTGCAATCAACTATTTAGTTGATTAATTGTGCATTAGTAGGATTGTGGATTGTATTGGTTTTTAATAATAAAGTTCATTATCTCCATAGCAACTTAAAATCTTATTTATTGTATTTTTTGGATTCCAAAACTATCCCTATTTATGACTTAATGTGTTATGGGAGGTGTAACTAATGACACACTTTGAATTTGGAAAGATTTTCAAATGGTTGTAATGGATGTAGGAATTAATTTGGAAATCTATTTTACGACTTGTAATCTATTTTTGAATTAATGTTGTTTTCTTTTTATGAATTACGACTGGTAATATATTTAATGTATTAGTAATTTAAATTTAGGAATTAATGTTGTTTTCCTTTTATGAATTATACGACTAGTAATCTATTTTATTATAGTTTTATGAATAATAGCGTACATTTTAATTATGTTGAAAAATAACTTGATAATCTATTTATTTTTTAAAAATGAACCTATTTTTTCTATAAATAATGTACCTATTTTTTTCTCTAAACAATGTACCCTTTTTTTCTCTAAATAAAGCACCTATTACTTGTTTTATGAAAAATAATTTGATCATCTTTTTATTGTTTGTTTTATGAAAACAATTTTTTTTAAATGAACCTATTTTTTCTCACCAAATAATGTATCTATTTTTTTTTCTCTTATTATGTACATAGTAAAACAATTTACCTAGTATAATGAACCTATTTTTTTGCTAAATTTTGTATCTATTGTTTTCTCCAAATAATGTTCCTATTTTTTTTCTCTAATAATGTATACCTAGTAAAACAATTTACCTAGTATAATGAACCTATTTTTTTGCTAAATTTTGTATCTATTGTTTTCTCCAAATAATGTTCCTATTTTTTTTCTCTAATA